TGATATTTCCACACATTCATACCTACATACACAGGTCAAATCATGAACGTCTTTCATAATTTTCTTTACTTAATAATAATAAGATAAGCATAAGAGTAAATTACTGAAAAGTTTTTATAATTTACCAAGAGTGTATACATACGTCAGCAAAAAGTCGTTATAGATATCAAATGTACATTAAAATTATTAGATATCGTAATCCGTTTCGACCGAATATAATCTTCATAATTTATGTTGAACACACACACACACACACACACACACGCACACACACACGCACAGAAAAAATTCTTACACTCTCAATAAAGTTTAACATTATCGCGTCTCACATAATTCTATAGTTAAAGTATGCTTGGTAATTGCTAGATTCTTTTTTATATTGCTCAGATAATTGTATTTCTCTGAAAAGGAGTATTATAAAATTGCGTGAAGAGAGTTATTGATAGAGTATCTGAAAATACGGAGAAAGAAGAACGAATATTAATAGGTAATAAAATTAAAATATTTTACAGCAGAATAAAAGAAGGAAGTCTAAAATTTCTGAAGTACGCAATTGGAAATAATTTAATTACCATTTGTCACAGTACCTGTGATTGCACGTACATTCGGTTTCGAATGAGTTTATTAACGGGTTTCTTCGACGAGAAAACATTCTGACGGAGATGTTAACCTTTATTCCTTTGTATTTGTTATTTGTTGAAGTGCATGATTATGAAACGTGCGTTTCTTCATCTTTATTATTAAATAATATAAAATATATATACGCAAAAGTTTAATTATCAAAATTATTTTACTGTGTATCGAAGAATTATTTTTCCAAATTAACACAGAAAAGGAAATAGTTTCATGTATTGTATAAATGTACGTCGATTCGTAGCGAGGAGAAAAGTTCGCGCTCGAGATCGTCCATTGTAAGATTAGTATAGAAGTTCATGAGATAGACGGAGAAAAAGAGTGAAATTAATACGTGCTGCTTGCGAGATGCAACTTATTTATTCATTGATCGATTATAAAAGAGTATCAGAAAATAATCTCGCCGACGATATTTATGCCGGAATTTTAAGAGGTTCCCTATAGAAACAAGGAAAATTCATTCTTGTATTCTAAAAACACTCTTACAAGACGGGTCTTTACGACATGTGTGCTACGTGATCGGTACGTTCAACTTCGTTCAGTCACGATGAAATCCGATAATAACGGGGATTCGACCAACCATGAAGAAGTTGCACTCTTTTACTTTTATTATAGAATCTATTTTTATATTTTTCTTTCTGAGCATCACTAACTGAAGAGACTTTCTTGGAAAAATTTAAAACAATTGAAAGTATAATAAAATAACTTGTGTAATTAAAAAGAATTTTTTAGATTCTTGCGATATAAGGATTCTGTTTGCTCAGTTTTTTAAAGATAAATTTTGAGAGCAATTTTTTCCATTATTTGTGAAACCGAGATTCGAGCTTAAATTAACAAAATTGCAATGTTGTTTCACGAATTTTTACAATTACGCTGAATTTTTCTAACCAGATTTTCCCAATCAAAATTCAGATATTGTTTAAAGCATATTTGATATCTATGTTCGTGATAAGGATTCTTTTGCAAGAGAGACCGAGAATTCTCCGTTATAAAAGAGGCCCGAAGTCACAGCTACATATAAATATAGATTACATCGTCGCCTAAGTTGCAATCAAATAATTTTCTGATTTGATGGCAAACTTTACGCAACGAACAGAATCCATCGGTTACTCTATTACGTAACGCGGACAAAACATTTGCCATCAAACATTTAGCGCTAAACGTGATTGAACGCGATATTGTTGAATTTATGATATCATTGAATCAAACGACACGATAGCGACGAAACGGCCAATAAGCGAATGTGGCTACTTGACGTGAATGACATGAATGACAAATGTTTGCGGCGCAAACAGATACTTGGCATGCCCGGGTCATAAGTCGTAGGTAAGAACAATAGGTTTATTCAACCGAAAATAATATTAATGGTTATTCTTTGTGCATGACCGTTCAGTACAACTAACAGCATATAGTGCTCCAATCAGTTTCCTCTATTTAAACAATCTAGAGATAAATAGGTTTACAAGAAAATACAATAGAATAGAATAGAATATTTATTTGCTTCAGCATATAAAATAGCCAAGGAGACTTGGTTTACAATATTTCTTATACCACACGCATTTATCCATACCTTCTTTATTTACACACTATATTACATCAACAACGTTCTTTCTATACAATCTTTTTTATCTTCTTACCCTAATTATATATTATTATTATTATATTATATCTTTATCCCTATTCATAGCCTATTAAAATTAAAATTAAAATTTACAACCTGTGGACAGCGCGTTCTTTCAAAACTATCTATCTATCTTATAGCTAATGAGTAATGACTCACTACGTTATCATCACTTCTTACCTAAAACTACTCTCCTTAATACACCCTATTTAAATCTGTTTCCGTCTCTTTACGATTTTCCCTCGTTCTTCCTATCTATCTATTTCTCCCCCCCTACTTTTCCTGTTGCACCTTGCTTCTATATAAATACTTTCTCTCTCTCTTTTTATAGTTTACTCAGTATGGTCCCCTTCGTTTCGTCCAATCTTTCATTCCATAACCTTTCCAGAATTTCCTCCCGCCCCGATTCTTTAAAATTAACATTTAACTTTTTACAATCCCTGACATAATGTATAATATTATCCCTACCTATATCACAGAAAATGCATTTCCTCCTACTTTCCTCTACCCAATACTTGTTGTCCTTTTCTAAATTCCCACATCTTAATTTCAATAACGCCCTTATCTCATCCCTTCTTTTTCATATTCCTTCAAATTCTCCTGTCTCAGATACACAGGTGTTCCATTTATTGTACTCCATGTCTTGTATCTCCCAATGTATCTGGCATTCCTAATTTTGCCCTCTTCCCATTGCCTCTGTTATATCCCTCTCCTTGTTAATCAACTCTTCCTCGAAACCTTCGCTTTCCTCCATTACTTCCCTTACCTCAATCCCCCAACCATTCCAATTATAGTAGCTTTCTCTATCTATTTACAAGAATACGATAAATATGCTACCAAGGCACACCAAGTATCTTTACTATGATTCCGTTCGTTATATACTTTTAAATACATCAATCGTAACGTACTTTTGGATGCCCGTCTACATAAGTCGCAACAAGCAGAACGCAGTTTGCAAACGCGGACGCAACGTATCACGCATTCGCACGTCGTAAATCACGTGTATCTATATCGATAGCACGTTTCACGCAAACGCAATCATAATAGGTTAGCTAATCCAAACGAGATAATAAGCTTTTCCCAGTTTTGCACACGTGGTGTGGCACATTTTAGGCGATTTTTGGCGTGCCTCTGGTATAGCAACCAAAAGCAACCGTGGTTGAGGCTATCTTTGTCTTCTGATCCCTGAAAACGAAGATAGCCTTAGTCGCGGTTACTTTTGGTTGCTATACCAGAAGCACGCCAAAAATCGCCTTTTGTGTGAAGAAAATGGAAACATTCGTGAGCCCTTAGAATATAATGTAATATTATTGCGTACAATTCCGATAAATTCCCTCGTTCTTTCCAAGGTCCAATTATAGTCCATTCGTTTTTTTCACTACAGACCGGGATCTAAATTCTGATATTCACTGTAATTACTGAAAATTTATGTTATGTGTGCCATAAATTTTCTGTAATGACAGTGAATATTAAACACAGCTTACTTGTCTAACCTTCGACGAACATTCACATGGAGATCATCGGACATACTTGCTTTCGCTTTGCTAGTTTCTGAAGAGTCGACGCAGTTACCGCACACGCGGAAAGTTAAAGTTGAACTAACTCACCGCGTATCGTCAATTTGCGAATGCGTACTGGAAGAAACGTCACTTGTGTCTGCGTTCTGCGTGTTGCGACTTGTAGACGGACCTTTGAACGTTTATTGCATGTAATTGTTGGGTAATTGCGCTGATATATTTATTTTTTACAAAGATTTTTTAATAAATTTTTATAGGATTTTCGAAATCTTTATAATGATATACTTGGTAATGTATAGATCTCATACTTATTTCTGTATAGTTAATACGCTTTATGTACTTGGCGTATCTTTTTTACCTTTTGTAAGGATTATTTTATAGGATATATGATACTGTGTAAAAAAATATTAGATTTACGTTATGGAATCGGATAAATGAAATTTAAAATTGGACTAGTTTGGTGCACGGAGTTTTGTGAAGGATGGAGTGGCCTTCAAAATTCATCCGACAATTTCGCTCATCGACTTTTCACCTTTGTCGGCACAGTCGCGAGCAGAAAATCGAGAGAAATATATAATACCATGCTGCAAATTGGCCGACGTGAATGGCCGTGTTTATTGTGTCGTTTTCGACAAATTCGACATCGACAAATAAATAGCTGCGCAAATATCGATTTCGTACCATTTGCCAGAAGGAACGGTTTTGCTATCCGTCTTATTCTGTTACGAACGGTGGATGGTTTCACCAAACAAAGTGACCTTTCTATCACTCGTTAAGACGAGTTCTATTTTTGTACTTTCTTGTAAGGATATTTTTTCATGTCCTGTGTTGAAATCATAAAATCGACTGTATTTCATCGGCGAACGATTCGCTGCCTCCGAGAAGAACGCTTCGACAATGTCAATTTGACTGTGTCGATCTTGTTAAATCGGCTTAGCACTGATTACCGTACTTCGCGCTGCAAACTCATTACTAGTTCATTAAAATTTTGTCGATAACCTCGCACGAATCATTCTTCCTTCGGCACTCTTGATTATCTTTACGTACTGCAAACACTCTGACCTTTTAAGGAGGTAATTATCATAATAACTTGGGGAGTTTATTAATAAACAAACGGATTTAAGAGATTCGGAGTAAAATAGAATTGCAAGTGTTTCCCTATTACAATAATTTTGTAATTTCTATGCGTAATTACACAGAGATTTATTAATCTTAATTTTTTTTTGCAGATGTTTGTGGGACGGTCTTTGATTATTTTCGCCATTCTCTTGTGCTATTATCAATCTTGGGTCGAAGCAGTGGACTGCGAGTAAGTATCGTATTCATAAGCTTCTCTCTTTTCCTCGTATCATTAGGAAAAACAGAATCGCGTAGAATATAAACGAGATTGTTGTTACAGACAAGAACCCTATAACCCGGCATGTCGGGGTTCACAGGCGAGGAAGCGCCTAACACCGTTGCCGGTCATGCGGTCTTTAAATTGCGAAGATGGAGATTGCAAACTTCCCAGGATGAAATTCTTAATCGCAATTCTCGACGACGTAAGTAAGCTTTTGTTATTTGAAGTAGCAAAATTAGAACATTTGCAAATGAGAAAGAAGTAGAGAGAGAGAGAGAGAGAGAGAGAGAGAGAGAGAGAGAGAGAGAGAGAGAAAATCGTTATTTATTGAGCGCTCCAGAACTAACTTCTCTCAAGCGCTGATAACGTAATACGAAGCAGTCAGTTACAAGCCTAAGATGTATCTGTATAATTGTTTTTTAAAACTACGCAAAGATGTAATACCACGAATGTTCTGCGGGATGCCATTCTAAAACTTCGCCGCACAGCAACAGAAAGATTACCTGAAAAACTCAGCACGCTGGTAAAAGCAAATTATTTCCAAATATCCTATAATAATACGCAATGATTTGCTTCACTTAAATTGAAAGCCTAGACATAGAGATTCAGGCGCGTGTGTCGCTAGTGTACAATGTTAGGCATTCTAAAAAATACAATCGTCTTGCCCTGACTTTGAGCCATTCTAATTCAGAGAAATACGGAGTGACATGCTCTGCACCTGTTCAGAGCTCTTTCCAGTAATATCAGTCATGACAGTACGACAATAATAAAAAATTAGAAAAATAAGAGTTGATATTAGTCTAATACGAAGAGATCTTGGAATAAGATGCTTGTATAACTTCAGTTGATAAAGGAGATATGATAAAGAGAGAGCATTAACTCTAAAGGTTAATTTATCGCAAAGATATAAAATAATGAAATTTTAGTTTAACGTTATTAAATAATTAGCTCGATATTTTAAAATTAATTTTTTATAAGATTTTAGTGGGAAAATTAAAGTTTGTTAGATGTTAAAAAATGTAACTTACTAATATCTAATTAAAGATTAAATATAAGATTAAATCCGAAAAAGGATTAAAAAAAAATAAATTATAAAATTAAATAACTGCATATATACCTCTCTTTCGCTATCGTTTTTCTATTAAAATTTATTCACGATTTGAATTTTTTCCATTAAGTTTATAAATTTTAATAAAAATTATGTCTTTTGACCGCATGACCGACAACGGTGTCAGGTGCTTCCTCGCCTGTGAACCTCGACATGCCGGGTTATAGAGTTCTTGTTTGTAACAACAATCTCGTTTATATTCTACGCGATTCTGTTTTTCCTAATTTGATGACACGAGGAAAAGAGAGGTATATTGTACATATAATAATAATAACAATTAAATTGATCAAAACTAAGACAAAAACGAATTAAGAACTTTAATTAATAAGTACGTATTAATTTAAATAAAATTAATTGATAGACTTTTTCTGTTTATTTTAGACTCCTTACAATGAGATTCATCCCTCCAACTCTGTTCACGGACGCAAGGGCAGGATGCGAACAGACGAGATGAAGGATGTGTATTTGGATGACTATTGATTCGATTACTACACTATGTCGATGCGATTCGGCAGATATGACTGAACGATCGACAACTTATCAGACATATACTTGTCCACGTTTGATTATCTTTTATTATATTATCTGACTTGAATCTCCATCCGTATTTTCCCTGATATAACATTTTTCTTTTCCTTTACATAATTTTCTCACAATTTTGGCAGTAGTAATAAATGTGCGTGCACTCATATTGTTAGCACTCTAATTTTTCGATAATAAATATTTAAATCGCACAACGGAAAAGTATTAATTTACCGTCTCGATCTTGTAGAGAAGTAATTGTTCGCACGCGAAGTAATTACGATCTCTTTCGCGTTAATCCTTCAAACAACTCGTTATATTCTTAAATGTGACGTAGAAAAATAAACACTTTAATAAACAGTATTGAATGTTCTAATTTTAAATCGTTAATTTTATGAGAATTAGACAGGAAGTTAACACCAGTTAAGGCGATGCTGGAGATACAGCCAAATCAACTTAATCAACGTCGATAAAACAGATTTTTAATTCTAATTAAAATATTACATACATAAAAAAATATTTACATACATTAAATAAATCATTACGTACATTAAATAAGCCATTAAGTAAAACGTACATTTTTTGTTCTGTTATATTCTATATATCGCTTGAATGTGAGGTTGTACACTCAAATCATATATTTCTCATGCTATTTCTCTTGTAAGCTTCAAAATCATAATTTGAAGAGGTCTCATGATACTCTTATAAATTAGTTAAATACGGAAAAATATTTTTTGTTTGGATATGTTTGTACTCGCGTTTATATATATATGTGAAGACAGAAAATAAATACCTATAAAGATAACAGAAAACTGTAATTTACAATTTTTTGGGGATTCTCGTACCGGTTTGTACTTTTCCGCATTTATTTGTGTTTTTCCTTTTATTCTGGGGAATGTTTATTCTGTATAAGAAAAACGAAATAGCATGAGAAATACAAAATAAGCGTTCTGTCTCGGTAACTCCAGCATCCCCTTTTAACCCTTGCTCTTTTACTCGATGTACACTTCAATATATAAAACGATAATTATACATATATGTATATAAATGTTAATTAAATTATATGTACATGTTTTAAATTCTGTTTCAAATAATTGAAATTACATTTCAAATAAACTATATATGTATATATATTTGAAAAAAGGAGGCTTGTTATTATATACTTTGGGTGCAGCAGCTAAACGTGTATTAAGGATTAAAGCCACTCTAGAGCACGAAAAATAAACTTAACTTTATGAATTTTTTTCGGGAATGTAATGAAAGAAATAAAAAAATGTATTTTAGGTTTTTGTTGTATATATGTATATACGTTGAAGTGTAAAAAAAATATTTTTTTATAGTGATTTTGTTACAAACTGGCGACGCTACAGCTCTGCAATGGTAACGTCTTCACATATGGACAATGCTCTGCGGCCGGAACTCCAGCAATTTTTAATCTAGAATACAAAACCAAAATTTTTTAAAATCTACATTCCAAAAACTGGAGAAAAACGTACGGAAATTACAATATACCGGTTTTTTTTAAAATGGTACGAATTTGAAGTAAATTTTACATTTAAAGCGTAAAAAATAGGTAAAAAATTGTTTATATAAAAAACGTATGCAACTTAAAAAAAATCCGTACGTCTTTCTCTAGAGAATGCAATTTTGAAGCTACAGTTAAAATTTCAAGTAAATCGATCAAGATTTGTAGGATAATTTATTTTTCCGGCCAACTTAAAAAAAGTGATTTCAAGAAAAATGCGTTTAAAATTTATTTATGTAACAATCAGCGATAGAAATGTTTACCTTTAATCTGCGATGCCTGCATCATATAATAGACCTTCCTCGTTGATGTTCTTTTCTTCCTAATCCTTTTTGGCTGATTTTAGAGATGATTGAGTCGCACGTAACTAATTCCAAAAATAACACTTAAGAATTTTTCTTTGCTATATAAGACCTTTTGTATCTTATTTCTAAGATCTTAAAGCATCATTTAAGCAAAAAAGAAAAAAAAACGAGTTTAAAAAAATTTTTTTTAATTCTTTAATGGTTTTACCCCTTAATTGCATCGCATAATAGTTAATAAATTTCATGTTGCGGGATGAAAGAATTTCGTTACGCTCGTATTCTTTTCCTCACTTTATTTTCTCTTACCTTTACAAAATTCGTTTGTCGAGTGCTGATGGTGTCGTGACAAACTCAATAGAACCAACCGAACTAACAGACTCAATGAACTCAACTGTCCTCATTACATAATGTAAAAACATAGGTGTGCAAAACCATTGCGCATATGATGTCACATGTTATGACGTAACGATCGTAGCGAGCCAATAAGAAATGCTCAGAAGTGCAGTGCGAAGTAGAGCGAAGTTCAAACGCTAAATTAACCGTATGTCATGAATATAATTAACCCTTTATCGGCGCTGTAGGATTTTTAAGGCGTAATTGATATTTGATTGTAAAAAAACGGATTATGACTAAGTCGCATTCTAAGATAACATTGAGTCTGTTTTTTGTTCCTGCACTATCTGAACTAGTACGCACGGTGCAATAAGTTGAAGTGAAACAAAAATACGTCTATGCATAAATGTACCCAAGTATATTATAATAATTGATTAACAAGAGCCTTATTACTAACATGTTATAATAATTAACCTAATAGAAGTTTTCCACATTTCAATCATCTATAAGATTAATATGATACTTTCAATTTATGATTTTGATACTTGTAAGAGAAATAAATTGAGAAATACGATCTGACTTTATGTAATCTACTCAGGATATATATATGGGATTATACTTTATTCTGGCAAACGTATTGTCTCACTAATCAAATTTCCGTCACTATATATTTCACTACACATTGTATCATTTTTTATCCATATATATGTACCATAATAAATATGTATAATGATATCGTAATTTTATAAGAGTACGTTTCCACTGAGCGCGTTACGTGTCGCGTCGCAAAAGAGAGAAAAGTATTGTTCGTTTTGTCTCTCGGGAGCTGCTCAGAGTCGCTCCGAACGAACCTAGCGTACTTGGATGTGGTCTATTTAATGCTATAAATACCTCGAAACATACTTTGATTGATCAATTTATAAAATTTTTTCTTCTGATTGATCAACGAAGCATTTGCAGCATTAAATGGATCACATCTAAGTACGCTGGGTTTATTCAGAGCGACTCCGAGCAGCTCCCGAGAGACAAAACGAACAATACTAAAGAGAGAAGTTTATACATGGGTGCATCCAGAAGCACGACCGCTCACTGAGCGCTCAGTGAGCTCTTACATTTGATTGGCATATTCCATTAGATCTAAAAATATAAACCAAACAGGTACAAGAGCTCACTAAGCGCTCAGTGAGCGGTCTTGCTTCTGGATGCACCTATTTTAATACACTAAACTGTGATTGGCCGATTTGCTTACGGCCTTACGATTATGACTAAATTTTTCATACGTGTGATGGCAACATGCTTTGACATGCTTCTACTAGAGTCCCTATAATAAGGAATCTGGCCAAGTTATTATTAATTTTATTGGTGCTGACAAAATATGGCGGAACTAATAAGATGCCTCAAATATGTTAATTCTTTACGCGCGCTATTATTGACGGGAATGAAATAATAAAGGAATAAACTTATTTTTATTAGTATAAACTTAGTTTTATTTACAAAAAAAACATTATATATGTATATAAAAACAAACATTTTTAGCTAACACGTATTTATATATAAAAACGTACATTTTTAATTAAAATATCCTTATACATGTTACTATTAAATATTATTTAATAATAACATGCATTGTCATGGTTTTACTACTATAAATCTTATTTTTTAAACGCCCTTTTGTGCAATCAATTTTTATGCGAAATAAGATGTAATGTTTCATTATTTTCTTAAATAAATTGCAGCAAGTTTCCAGCGAGTCACAACGAATGTTAGTCATTTTTTCAGTGAAGAAGTTTATTAAATGAGTATTTTTATTTTTAACATAAGGTAAATATCTTCTTATAATAATTTCCATTTCATAAAAGTATTTATAGGTTGCTTTATTGGCATTATTGCACCTTATTGGCTACGATGCTGGTACTGTTGGTACCGCAGCCAATACGGTAGCAAAATTTTAATTCAGTTAGCAATACAGCAAGAAAACAAGCATCGTCTGCCACTTGCTTTATTCTAAATCAAACATTTACCACATTATCGGGAATTGTAGCATATCCTATAGTGCGATTAGTGGAAGGATCTATTTGTTCACCTGGTGTTAAGCTTATTTCATCTACACAAAGCATACAATCTGTATCTCGTTCATCTGGAAACTTTAATACCTTTTCTTTTAATAATTCAAGAATGTCATCACAAATTCCATCTTTGAAAGTAATGGATTCTAATCGTCTGCGCAAAGTACGAGGTGAAGGTAAAGGAATATGTTGCTTTAATAACTCATTGTATCCATTATCTCCACATGCATGTTTGAGCCGTACTGCTTTTTTAATAGTTTCATCTGTCCATTTATATAAACGACGTTTTTCATGTGTAGCTTTAAGGTATTCTATCTGATCATCATTAAACACCATATATAATAAGTCTGCTGCTAGAGGAGTCGTCAGTTCTCTTTGTGACTTATTGTTAGTACAATTTTTTAATTGTTGTAGACGTTTTAGAAGATTTCTTTTTGTCTTGTTATTCTTATGGATGATGATATTTGCCATCTCTATCTTTTTATTTGCTATCTCTAATTTTTTATTTGCTTCATCTAATTTTCTTTTCCATTCAATCACAAGTGCAGTATCATTATTATTTACAAATATCATTGAGTCTGTTGAAGTATTTACTTCATTTTCACTTTCCCGAAATCTTTTTGTACTATTAGCTGCATTTTTTTTTATCAAAATCTGTGGAGGATTGTTTTACTGAAGATGAAGAAACCTCGAGAATATCATTTGATTGTATTGTATTTTTATCACATATCTGAAAATTAAAATTGTCTTAAAATTTACTTTACATAAATATATTATTAAAAATTACAGTTAAAATCGATACATACAATATGTACGTTTCCTTCTACAGTTGGAATGTCTTTATTTTGGAGAGGATAAAAGATTGTTGGAATGGCATTGGCTTTTAGCTTTTTTTTCCCATCCACCCGTACTTTTTCCCACATTTCTGCCGAAAAGTGAATCTGCAAATGTCGTTATTCAAAATTACCGTTATATTATTTATGAATGCGTTTCAAGTTAAGCATGAAGCACATGATGCATTATTTATTCTTGTTGTTCAACAAATAATAAAGGATAAAATGATACATCATGCGCTTTATGCGTAATTTAGAATTCACCCTACATTTCTATTTTTAATCAAACAATTTACTTACTTCACATACAAATAAGTTTTTTGTGGATTTCCATCTTAATGATTGATTACCACCGTGGATTTTAATATTTTCTATCCATTCTGCCCTTCGAATTACATTTGATGGAAAACTCCTCATTGAAAATCCTTTTTCGGTACTATTAAAGCAATAAGGCACGCAACAGCCAGGCATTTTCTATAAAATTTGTTAGTTATAATATACATTGAATAGATACAATTTTAAAGGTTAGAAATCGATTTTTATGTTAGCATGTATAATTTGAAATGGCATGAGAAATACGAAATAAGTGTTCCGTCGGTAACTCCAGCATTCCCTTAATATATACTTTTATCGCATGTATATTTTTGAATTATTGTTCATTGATATTATTCTGATCAATTTTGATTGTATAATTATAGACTAATTAATTTTATTTATTCATGTTCTTTATAGTTACTAAATAAGTACAGGAGTAATAAATTGAGGACGCGCAGATCATCTTTATGTATTATCATAATATTAAAATCTTTCAAAACTGTTGTATATCATTCACGCATAAGAGAAGCACAAACAAATATATTATATTGGTATTAAATATATTTATTTTATTTCTTTGAATATAAAATATTTGTATAAGAAATTATTAATAAATTTTCAATAACACAATAATTACTTATAGAATAAAATGGCCACTAAAACAGATTGGAAATGCATAATCCTAGGTTGTAAATCTCCTGCTAAAAGTCCTGAACTATTTTCCTAAAAATAATAAAGAAATGGCTAGAAGCAGTGTCCGATCAGTGCCATATGGTTTATTAAATCTATCAGAAGAAGAAATTAGAAAATATAGAATTTGTCATTTACACACTTCAATGAATATTCTTATATTTTTAGTCTAAGTCGTAAACGATTAAAGCATAATGCTATCCCAAGTCAAAATTTGTCGAGTGTAACAGTTAAAACCGATATTACTCAGCCTAGTACAAGTCAAAAGGAAAGTATACACGTGAAATTGATATGCATCTAATGAAATGAGTGAAACAATTATATTTTTATATTACAAATATAAATAAATTAAATATCACATTTGCAACTTTTATTTATTTCCTCGAAAGTAAAATTATTGAACAAAAAATAATCCATGTTTCAGTTATTCACAGATAGAAAGTGGTCAAATGAGTCATTCACAGGCCAAAAGTGATGAATCCCATTTCGAATTTTTTAAAATTATATTTCCAAAGCACTTTTTATTAATGCGCTTTGATACTATAGAATTTTAAAACATTCAAAGTGGAGTTCATTCATAAGCCAAAGTAATTACTTGAATTTTTTAAAATTCTAGTATCAATTCATAGTATTTCGATCTGCGAATAACTGAAACGTGGATTATTTTTTGTTCAATAATTTTACTTTCGAGGAAATAAATAAAAGTTGCAAATGTGATATTTAATTTATTTATATTTGTAATATAAAAATATAATTGTTTCACTCATTTCATTAATTACTTTGGCTTGTGAATGAACTCCACTTCGAATTTTTTAAAATTCTAGTGTCAAAGCATCAATGAGTTCAAAGTAATTACTTTGGCTTGTGATGACTCATTTGACTATTTTATCGATCGAATAGAAGAATTCTGTAATTTAGTTCCCAAAACTGCGTCTATTCGTCCAGATGGCGCAGAAATAGGACTTGATTTTTTCCAAGAGTGTCCATAGTGTCCATCGCACCTAACCTGACCTAACCTAATCAACTGTCTCGCTGTGGAGCTACATACAGTCCTACATAGCCCGACCACAGTATTTTACAGAAAGGAAACTTACCTCTGAAAATTTGTGGCAAATTTCTTAAATTTTAAACTATTTATAGTGAGAATCTGCAACGAATAATACCTTTCTGCTTATTTTCCGCGATGAGGGTGCTCTTACAGCGGTTGAGTCACCTACGGAATGTGAACCCGATGTTATTGAGAGGCTCTGACAGTGGCAACCTCGTGCACTGGAAAGCTCTAACAAAGCGTAAGTACAGCACTCCGAGCGTGGCTTGTGTCAATTTGGAAAAAACCCTGAGGATACATGCTGTCAATCCCCCTGTCATCAACAACAAAAACGATAATGGTCCAGAAAGGATACAGGAAAATGTGTACGCCCACAATTTCTTCCTGAACTCGTGGAAGTATGCAAAGACCGTGATGCGACCCAGCACGACGTATGCTTATGTTACAAACAAGGAAGCTTTGGAGATCCTGAAACAGGATTGGAATTCAATGACGAGTGATGAAACAGTATCTGCCGTCAAGAAACTGTCCTATAATTTTCGTCATAACAATGAAGAGAAGATTGAGTCATCCCGATATACAAAGGCTTTTAGTGGAATAAAAACAGAAAACATGACTGATGATGAACTGGTGACTATAATGCAGCACCTAGTACCGTTTAACAATCACATGAAAAACCATAGTTTTTATACCAATCTCTGTATGCAGATAGAGAGAGAGTGTATGAGACGTTTTTTGAAGTTGCCAATAGAAAAGACATTGTATCTTTGTGACATAATATATCAGATAACATGTAATATTAACAAATATTTTTCTCAATATATATGGTATTCCATTAGGAAAAAAGGCAACAGACCTCATCAGCTCAGTCCTCAGCAACTGATTCAGATTCTGTTTTTTCTAAACATACATCGAAAGCCACCTATAAACATGTACGAGTTTGAGTATCAACTAGAACAGTGCAAGGAAGAATTGTCAATTAATGAGTTAGCTATAGCAGCATTGGGTTTCTTCAAGACTAGCACAAAAATTAGAAGTGCAAATTTCCTGGAATATATCATCCGAAGGTCTATAGCTGACATAACTGAAATACACAGCGTGAGCATTGCAAGCATTATAAAATTAGTACGGTAAGATGAATTTGAATTTAATTTATATGTCGAGTATTCACTGATTTGCAAATGTTGATTTCATCTTTAATACTCTACTTACAGATATAGTGTGGATCTTACAGAATTGAAACCACTTCTAGATTTATTAAAAATTTTGTCATCATATGAACCACATTACACATTAGCATCTTTAACACATATTGCGCAAACATGTGGAAGAGTTGCTTTGTACAACCAAGAGCTCATGGATAGAATAATTGGAAGGTAAATTTTATTTTTATATTTGCATTTTCCATTAATATTCGTAATAAGCGATGCTTATGATTTATACAATTCCAGATTAAATAAGGAATTAAAGACTGCGAGGTTGAAGGATTTTGAAAGATTGCTTTATACTTTTTCTATTCTTAATATCAATTCGGGCAATAGCGTCTATCAAAATGTGATTGAGGAATTGAGGACTACTTGGAACACTACTCGAGCATCAGAGATACAGAGGTAATTATCCAATAATAACATAATTTTTTAAGCTGCATTATTTGAAAATTATATTCTTTGTTTTCTGCTTCTTAGAAAAAAAGAATTGTCCTCTCCATTTCAATTTCAAAGATATTTACAAGAGTTTCCCGCGACAGGTTTCCACATGTAGCTTCACGTATTCTAGGATATATGACGATACAAAATATATATCCCATAGATCTAATCAAATACGTCATGGCACCTGAATTCGTAACCAGAACATGCCAGGGTGATTATCATTTTCTTTCGCGCGAATACCTCGTGCTTGATTACAGCCTTCGAATAGAAATACCCGAGTACGATGGTCCATTCCTGAAACCTACTGTAAGAATTTTTTTAGAAAAGGTATGCAAAGAGAAATCAATTATTTACGATCGAATTGTTTGTATGATGTCATATGCCGTAAAAGTTCGATGAAAAATGATGCTTATTGATAAATTTTCTAATTACAGAAATATTTTGACTTATGTCAAAAGACTAACTTAAGCTCGAGTCGGGCGAATTTGCTTTTCTCGGAAGTGCTGGCAACATGTCAAGTACATACATATATAAAGCTAATCTTTTCCTGTAAGTGTATATTATTTCATAAAGTATTTTTATTCTTAAATAGGAGTTGTTTAACAACACTACGGACATATCGATCATTCGTCCGTTACCGTACTTTACACCACAGGACATTGTTTTGTGTTTAAATGAGCAAAATCAGCTTGTGCCATCAAAGGAATACTTATCACAGTTTGAAGAGGTTGATATTAAACGAGTGGATAAAGAGAATTCAAACAATGTCAGATGGATTGCTCTTATCTTAGGTCATCCTGGATTATTAATCAGAAATTGTCGAGATAAACCTACTGGAGCCTTAGCTGCAAAAATGAGACAGTTGTCTATAATTGGCTACATGCCAGTCATGGTAAATTTTATAGGAAATAAATATATCAATTTATATTAGAAACACAGAAACGTATAATTATAAATATAAAGCGTTATCTTTCTGCACATTAAAGATTCAAATTTAAAAAAATTGATCAATCAAATTGATTCCATATTGACGAAATTATATTATGAATAAAGTATTTCTTTTTAATCATAATATTGCAATGATGTGCAATATATTATGATAATAATTAATGCTGATATTTTAGAATTAATCTAATAATATTTTTAATTAGAATGATTTAAATAACGTACTGTCATTAATTATAAGTAGTGCGGATAACACAAGAAAGTTTCATTTTTTTTTTGCAGGTATCATATTCGACTTGGAACATGCTTCAATCACAGCAGGAAAAATGTGATTACATCAAAAGTCTTATTTCGAAATAATGAGACTTATTCAATATAATAATGTTTCAGAAGGACATCTTGTACATCTTTAATTAGGAAAAATATTTTTTGTAATATAAAATATTTCTTGCAACATATTTTTAATATATGTATAATCTCTTATTTACAGATATAGACATTGAAGTTGTGTAGCATATGGTTTTAGAATACATATCGTTTACATACAATAAATGCTTCGCATATAGAATATTTGTAAATTATCAGGTCACATATAAGAAAACGGAAATGTTGAAATCGATTTTAGAAATAATTATACATAAGTTTTTTCGTGTATTCAACGGTGACAAACAGTGTTGCAGTCGCTGGTATCGTTCTAATTAAAGTCGGTGTTAATCCGTTATACAACGCGCCGATACCTTCTTGTCGTGCGATATTCTTGAAGACTATCAAGGCAGGTGTTTTCAAGTTCTGCACCTGGTTTTCAAAACATTTTGTTACGATAAGATAAAAACTCGGAAATAGACACACCTTTTTAGTTTTTTGAAAATATACCTGTATTCTACTCTTAACAACATCGGCCGGAAATATCGCTAACCAGAGCATCGTGCCTCCAACCGCGCCAGCTACCATCGTCTTTTGCCAACCAATGTCGTCCCTATTCTGACCCTTGGCAGCTAATAACTCCCTCGTGGCTTCATAGCCGCCGAAGAAGAAGAAATAGCCTGGCATTTCGCGGGCTATCGTTGAGGAGAGGCCTGTAAATAGGCCTCTTACACCTTGTTCCTTAAGAATTTGCCTCGTCAAACTCCACGGTCCTATACGAGGTTTCTGAGACTAATAGTGTCACTAAAGAAATTGCCATCAAAATTTTTTAAATAAGATTTATGAAATGTTATTTACCGTGGATTTTTCCATGGTAGTTGCCATTTGTGTCTGTTCGACTTCTCTCATAGCTTGTAGTTTGCATTTTATTAACTCCGTCGGGCACAGCGTCAACGAGGAAAAGAATGCAGCGAAGAAGCCGGCCCAGGCATTACTGAAGGAACTTAGCTCTTTCACGTTTTGTACACCTATAAAAAAGAAATATTAAGTACCTACATTATTATTTACATATTAAAGCATAAATTATTTTAATTTACTTTAATTAAGCATCGGCTTTTTAAAAAATAATTTATATTTATATATTACACTGTCGTAGTTCACGATTTACCTGATAAATGAGCGATCGTCTTTTGACATCCGCCGTATGCCGCGAATAATACAGAGTTCTCGGCAACATTGGCGACTATCGCAGGAATTGTTCCAGCGTACAAACCCCTTGCGATACCATCTGTTCTTAACGTACGGAGAAAACAATTTACCATATTTTTATACATGGATGGGAAGGTTTGCATCTTTACCTTCACCGTATCCAATGGCTGGCCCACGTAAACGAGCGCTACACCGCCTTTTAAATAAAAATAGAATACTTGTATATAGAAAATGTAAAGACTCAATAGAAGCATTTTTTTCAAAAAGTATTTTTGCCAAATTATTATTCTACTGCTAATTAATGATAAATAATTCGTTTGTTATATTTTTCACATTTGCTATAGTTGAGAAAAATTATCGCAAAGAATACTCCATTATCCTAATGTGAACTCTAAACTTGTTTACATAAATACTGTAGATAATTAACGTTGCAGTATCCATTTTTTTCTAAGATTTTATCAGTAAAAGTGAACATTTCTTGATACTGTTAAGGAATTAAAATCAGCTGTAAATTCATAATTTTCTTGTATTGCAACAGTTTGCGAATAGCCAATTATTGCCGCGTAATTAATAAACAATTTTCGCTTTTTATAAATCGCATAAGAATATAACTTCGCGCTAAGAGTGATTTAGAAGTTGGATATATAATTAGATTTATCAGGTTATTTACGTAAAAGATACAGAACTGATATTACCGTTATCTTCCCATCGAATCCATTTCAGATAAATGTGTTGTACATATTATTTATCTAAATACTAGAATATACAGTTTTATAAACAGTAGAAAAACAGCAACTCGAGTTTCAAACGAACGTTATTTGTCATCATTTTGATATTAGAACGTCATTAAGGACGTTATTTTGACGTCAAAATGAGAAATAACGTCATCTTGTTATCTGGGAATCAGTGTTATTTATCAGTAATTGCAAGTTGCAATCAAATGATTTGTTTTAAATACATCGATAATAATCCCTATTTTATATATATATTTATTTATTAATATAGGAAATTTTAACAAAAATTTTTAAATAAATTAAAATTCTTTTTTTAGAAAATTTTAAATAGACTAAATTTTTTCTTAAGAAGTTTCCAAAAGTTCTCGCTTTTTAAGCTTTTTACTTTTTCTATTCTTGTATTTTACAATTCTTCATCTTTACATCATTTTTTTTATAAGTAACTTTTTTTTTTTCAAGACCTTTATGATTTTGTTCTTTTCAAATTTAGGCTCAGTCAATGTAAAATTAATATTAATATCGATTTTCGTTTACTATTTATCTTTTCCTAATTTCCTTAAAATTAAAATTAAAAAATAAAGAATAAAAGTTAAATCGATATTAAAATTAATCTTACATTGGTGGAAACGAGTCTATTTCTACCAATTAATGTAGATTAACTTTTATCTCAGTTCAACTTAAATCTCTGGCACACGATGCGTATTTTCTTATTGAATTACTTGCGGTTTGGTAAATTATTAACTAAAAATTTACTAAAACGCACGTGATCCACAGCAAAAAAAAACATTCGCGCATATCGTGTACCGCAGATTTCACCTTTCATCTTTTTCTAAATCTTAGAACTAGAAAAGGATGAAGCTAAACAATTTAGCTCATGAAATTGTAATATAAAATATACTTAGGATTGTGTCCTAGCTAATATCCCAGTAAACACGTAAATGGATTGAAATGGATTAAAATGGATTCAGATTTTCAGAAATACGCGGATTCATGAATGTTAAAATAAATCCTTTTCAATCCTGAATAAATTTTTTATTTATTTATCGGAATTGTACGGAGCATATCTGCCTTTCAATCTAAAAATAATATCAGTTTTCTCAGTGCATCGTGAATACTGTTCAATTCAAAATTTTGAATAGAAAACGCAGTTTTTCAATCCAATTGCATCCAATTAAATCTAATTGAATCCAAAAAAAAGTTTTCACTTAAAATACGTATTCGAATAGACAAAATGTCCAATTAAATTTTAATTCATTCTCGTTTGCTGGGATTAAAACTTGATTTTATAGATTACAATTTGATTTATTGTAAATAATAAGAAACAAAGCTCTCGATGTCAAAACAATAAGGATAAAGTAAAGGGTAAACCGAGAGTCGTCGATAAATATAATTGGAAAAATTTTTACATGTATATGAAAAAATTAAAATATAATTAAAACAAATTCAGATACATTACTGCGTACATAACATGCTTTGGCTCCTGATTTGAGCCTTCTTCAGATGTATAAGAATTCCATTGTATCCAAACCAGGGGCTCTATTCCTAAAAAGAAATGCATACGAAAAACTAGGAAAATACTATAGTATACGTAACGTATACTGTAGTACTTCCCTAGACTTTCGTATATGTTTCTTTTCAAGAATAGACCTCCAGGAGCCGAAACATGTTATATGTATGCAGACTCGGATTTTACTTTATCCTTATTTTCGATTTAGGGCGAGTTTTTTAATTCATCGATTAATTAATTGCATGATGCGTATATAGATGCAACATGTTGCACTTGCGCATCATGCGATTGATCAATCGATGAATTAAAAAACTCGCCTTTATTATCATGTATAAAGTAATTACTTTGTACATACGTTATGACAATAAATTTAATTGTAATCTATAAAATTAATCCAAGAAAAATATATGATAAATGCCTTATCGAGTCAGAACACTGTTCTTAAAATTTAATTTATTATATGTACTTTGAAACTTGAAAAGGATCCGAATTTGGATCGAAACGTTGTTATTATCAAGATACACACAACAAAGCATCATTTCAACTCACACGAACAACCAGTGTTTTGACTCGATAAGGCATTTATTATTTTTCTTGGATTTATTCAACCGAGTCTATTTTATTAAGTTATATTTTTATATCTACAAAATTAACTTTTAATATTCAACAGGGATTAAATTACATTAGCAAAAACAGGAATTGGAAATGTTTCGTTACGAGAGGAAAATTCATTTCAATATAGGTCGTGCTCCGAAATGCACTGCCAGTACTGAAAATCTATAGTTCACGTTACATATACTATAAATTTTCAGTACTAGCAGTGCATATCGGAACGATGCCTATAGAATGTGATGCAACTTCCGCGCGCGTCGAGTATATAATTCCGATTATTTTGATCGACGATCGACTTGTCAACCTGTAGCGTTTCATTGACATAATAGAACAATCGATCTTTTGTTCAGTACATAGAAAGAACGATCTCGGCATAGATGGATTCGTGGAGTAAACGGAAAGATACAGATTATAGATTGTATAGAAAACCGCGCGACGAGAAAAAACAATTACCGAGTGAACCGGCCACGAAATCAATCGCGCCCTCCTTGATACCTCCGCGGCAGTTTTCCGTCGGCACGTGAGGCACTTCCACGTCGATCAACCCGGCAACGCTGCTTGTTGCCATCGTGGTCATTATCCGGGCGAAAAATTCTTTCGTTGCGACCATGTGCTTTTGTCCCAGGCGATAAAACAGACACAACCAGCCAGCCGCACGCAACGGGCAATACTGGCGATTGAGCGTCTCGCGAGCCGTTAAAATATATATGTATATGAATATCTATAGAAAGAAGCTGATATCGTCGGCCTACTGTCGTTCACGTTGTCGGTTGTCATTTAACGTGCAGGTCCGGCTCGAGAGATCGATGGGCCTGTCGGAAATTCCTAAAAAAAAAAAAAAAAGAATTTCCGTAACACCTAACGCTCGCGTTCTATTTTTGTTTCTTGAATGAGAGAAAGAAGAAGAGAGAGAATGCTTGTGTCTAAACAATGAATTATTAGAAACTAAAAATCTATCACGTGTTATACGTGCGCTATGATTTGTAACGTATGCAATAGCAATGAATTTTAAAATATAG